GAAAAAGTTGGAAAGGAAAGGGATGACAAAATATAAACACACTTTTCAATACATTTTTTTATATTTCTCAATTTATAAAAAATATTGTTCCGAAGTTTTATAACATAAACAGTGAACATTGCTCCAATTTTTTTACATGTTATTGATATTTATAACGAGTACATTCATTCAAATTTTCGATATCATTTATCTTAAATTCAATAAAAAATTTACAATATTTGTCATGACTTTGTTACATTACGTTATATTTCGATATCTTGTTCTCCGGCAGAAAGGAAAGATTAATCGTGGACTGGAGGGCACCAGTGATAATGATATGTAGCCTTGATAGTGCACCCAAACGTGCACATTATTCTGGTAATGTAACTCAGTTGTCTGCGCACATTCATTACTCTTTTTGTTTTTTATTCCTCTCTGGATAAGTAAGAGAGCATGGTAATGGGTACATTAACGCAAATCTGTATGAAGGAGAAGTTCGAATTTTATGTGTCGTAAAGATCGTAAGGTTGGAGTTATATTAATAGAATCGTGAAATGTTGATATCAATTTATGTGGTACTTTAGTTTCTGTACATGAGATTTCCCACGCTTTATACTCTTGAATTTTATGGCGGGAAAAATTGTTTATTGCTGAGAGTCATCAGTGAACTTTTCTAATGATCTTTGAAAATTACACGTAAATGTCAAGAATCGTTGGAAAAAAATTATCTTGTTAAAAGAAAAATGAAGTTTGAAATTACTTTTTTAATGATAAAAATAGTGTTTTTGTGCTGTTTTTTACAATGAAAAGAAAAAAAACTGTCCAGGAATTTTCAGTCATTGAATTTTTTATTATTGGCGGTGACGCACTAGAAGTACATCAACATAGTTGCTATGGTTGATGGAGAGACCTCTAGACCCTACAGACGGGTTAAACCGATGGGTTACACCATCCCATGTAGCAAGTAAGTATCGCAGTCCACACACTTTACGATCCCATTATGCAAACTCGCTTTCATACCGACAACGAACGGAGAAGTGTTGGAGAATCCTTCCTCCTTCACTGAGGGGAGTTAGACCCCCAACGATAGTATATTCTAAAAGCTCCGGTAATAGTGCCATCATTCAACAATTAATTTCAACCAGATGTTTGCACTTTGTCCGATACCTTTAAATTAATTATCATACTTTACAGTTGGAAATACACTCTCGAAAAATACATGAATATTGTTGCTAATTGATTCTATATACTATTCGCTATTCACAATTTTTTTTATTATTAGGCACTTTTCAGGTTCACAATTTTTTGAAGTATTTAACAGGGATTAAAATATTTTTTGTTTAATTTTAACCAATTACCCTTATACTTATAATTATGCTGAGATTTTTTGTTCATTAAAATTGTTGTGCATAGTGAAGAAGATGAGAAAAAAAATTGAGGGACAAAAATTTATGATTTTTTGGGATTAAAAAATTCAATTTCTAACAACCAAACATGCTCCTGTATGCTTTAATTGATTCGACTGTGAAATTCATCTAATATATAATAATAATTCAATTTCAATTTCAAGTCATGAATTTCAGATGAAAATCTTTAAAAAAAAAAAATTTCAACAATTGAAAAAAAAGAATAAAACCGTTTTTCAAGGCATCAGTTAATATAAAAATAAAGCAAAAAAAAATTATGAATTTTTTCAGATTAACAAATTAAATTCCCAACGGCAAAAAATGTTTCTCTGTGCATTAATTGATTCCAGTGTGAATGTATAATAATAATTCCTTTTCAATTTCAATTCATGAATTTCAGATGAAGATCTTTTTAAAAAAGAAAATCAATTTTCAACAATTGAAAAAAAAGAATAAAACCCTTTTCAATGCATCAGTTAATATAAAAATTGAGCGAAAAAAAATGAATTTTTTCAAATTAACAAATTTAATCTCCAACAGCAAAAAATGGTCCTCTGTAATTCATTTTCAATTTCAATTTATGAATTTCAGATGAAAATCTTTTTAAAAATGAAAATAAATTTTCGAAAATTGGAAAAAATTAATACAAACTTTTTTCAATGCATCAATTAATATAAAAATTGAGCAAAAAAAAAATTATGAACTTTTTCACATCAACGCATTCAATCCTCAGCTGTAAATAGTATATTTCTAACTCAGGGAGGTAAAATAATGGAGTCATGCCCACGTGCGGAAGCCGAGGGTGATAACTACGTGATTAATAGGGTGTCCGTTAGGGCACCCGTTCCGGAATTTTTTATGTACCGCCCCCTCAAAAGACTGTAAACAAAATAAAATTCTCTAAAAATTTCCGCTTTCTATCTCAATTCTAAAACGCCTCCCAAAAGCCTTGTTTTTCCCATGAGAATAATACGGGATTTTCATGGAAAATTCGTATCTATTTCCCCTCTGCGACTATGATGTCACTAAAAATTTTATAATCATGAAAAATTACTGAGTAAACGAATAGTGCAATTATTCTTATCGGACAAAACGTCTTATTCTCATGGGAAAACATTATTCCCGTGTCATACTTATGGGAAAAATAAGGCTCTTGCAGGACGTTTCAGGATTGAGATAGAATTGAAATTGTAAGAGGATTTCTCAAAAATTTATTTCGAATCTTTTAAGAGGGCGACACGTCGAAAATTCCGGAATAGATGTCCTAAAGGGCTCTCTAGTGGCTAAGGGTCCTTTATTTTATCTCTCGTGGTTAGAATGGTATTTTTGCGTGTGTGGAATTCATGGAATATATAATAATAATAATAATTGCAATTTCAATTCAATTTCAATTCATGAATTTCAGATGATGATCTTTCGAAAAAAGAAAAAAAATTTCAAAAATTGAAAAAAAATAAAACGTTTTTTTAATGCATCAATTAATATTCGAATGCATAATGCATATGATGCTCATGATTTACCTATCACCTGCATTCAACTTTTTCACATTTCCATTTCAACCCCCCCATTTGGATTTCAGTGCATCGTGAATCACGAGCTACAAAACAAGTCACGTATCTCACAATCAGTTTAAAAATACCTATATGTCTCAAAACTATAACACGTTTACTTTCTCACCATGCACGAGAATCTTGATAAACGTTGGAATCAAAAAACATGTATAAATACGTGTAGACCTCTCCTCCATTAACATCTACCACTTTATATACAGAATAATAATAATAAACCCTCACAAAACATCCATTAAATACCTCCAAAGGAGACCATAAGTTACATGAGAACAGAAGTACATAAATAACTTAACTAAACATCAAACAAAACTGCATCTAAGAAGAATAAAAGAGTTGACCTTAACAATTTTTTAATGCAAAAAAAATGTCTGAACTTAAATTAATGAACAAACCGCAATCCCAGTGATAGAGAGAGAAATAATATGAGCATTAAGAGCAATAATAATTTATAAATAATTCATCTGTGAGTGGATTAGTCATTGAATTTTCTCTGACCCACTTGAGTCATTTTTTTTCAATTAGTTGTAGTTTTAGTTGAGGTGAAGTAATAACGTAGTAAGTTTGCTTAATACCTAAATCGTTCATGGAACATACAAAGATTAATATATCATAGATATATGGGACCAAAATCACCGGACCAAGTCGAGCTAAGAGCTCTGTATCGTTGTGTCAGAAAATCGTAAGAAAAATTAATCTTTATGTGGAAGACATTTATTGAGGCATATAAAATTTGGCAACGGAAAAGTCTGTCAATGTTTCAGAAAAAACGCTTTCAGAAAAAACAATTATAGGATGAATGACACCTCGAAAACCTTTGAGTTTAAAAGAAAATGGCAAATCAACTACACTAAATCATATGAAACTCATCATCAAAAATGATATCTGATCTTTTTGTATAAGAAATCACTTATGATGTCTTCACTAAATTATTTGCAGAAGAAAATACAATTGCCATAAAATTGATAAAACGTCAAAAACTGTTTTTAAAATTTTGTTTTTCATTCTTTCGCAACAATTCTTCGATTATTCTGCCAATGGCAGTGGCGCAGCAGCGAAAAGTTCCGCGCGCGCAGACAGCACCAACGACTGGGCAAAAAAAAAATCAAGATTTTTTTTCACCTGACAGAGCAACTCGACGAGGGCCAGCAAGCAATCGTGAGAAAAGATATCTACGAGGCTAAAAAAACAATAGTTTGCTTAACGAATAATTCAGAACATTCGTAAAAGACAAAGAATCATTGCAACAATGGACGTACCTCCACTGCTACAACTTGGAAAAAAAGAAACACGAGGAAAAAGGGGGAAAAATACGGAAAATTCGTAAAACATTTTTCTTAAGCTTAATAATCGCCGAAAATAGGCGTACTTGAATCATCCAGCCGTGGATTAACATTAGTTGTCGACGCAATAACCCAACCACGGTGGATTTTTTTTTGTTAAGTCACTCATCAATCACAATCAATTGAATCGTTATCGTTTTGAATTTGATTCGTCATTCACGCAAAAATTTATACAATCGCACGATAACTTCGGGAGTCTTTCGTCAGAAAGAACCGGAAGCGTTGTGTCATCCCCCGTCTCGATCAATGTTCCATCTTTGTTGTTAATTTAATGATGAAAGTATGTGAGTGGTCGTAAAGTGATAAAATTAGCCGAGTCATAACAGTTTTTATTAATTAGCTGATTATCTCGGAGATGAGTCATTCCAAAGCCAAATGTGAGAGGATATTTTTTTAGCTGGAAAGATCATCTACAAGAAGTCTGTGTTCCAAGTTTTTTTCTTGACATCACTAATTAGAAGGACAATTTAGCAGTTATCGGAATGAGTTGAAATGATCTGTTAGTTTTGGTGATTATCAAGGAACTGAAAAGTTTCATCGAAAAATATTGGGAAACCTTCTTTCGGAGATTTTTTCTATAAACAAAGGGTGTTATATTGATTCGAATGATTTTATCCTTTCTCTACTAGATTTGTATGTAATCGTTATTACAGTTGTTTCATCAGAACGAAGATCGAGATCTACTTTTTCTTCTCTTCATCACTTCAAAGACTGTACGGATGACAGAACTGGTAGACTAACCTCTGGCTCCGCTCGGTCTTCTTCATGATGCCCTTCTTGTAGTACTGTCTGATGCTGCGGCTGAGTTTGTCGTAGTTCATTGCAGGCCTGTTCTTGCGTTTGCCCCAGAGTCTTGCGACTGTGACGGAGTCCTCGATCTTGAAGACACCCTTTGTGCGGTCCAGCCAGCGGATGCAGGATCCATGGAGTCCGGGACTCTGTAGGAGTTCTTTCAGGAACTGCCAGAGGTGGATGTGGGAGCCTCCATTTCGCATTTTTCCACCGCTTGTGGGGGTTTGAACTGGACTTGAATCCTCATCTTCATCTGCGCAAAAAATATTGAGAAGTCTTTTATTAACGACATAAGAAATTCAAGTGTATTTGGGGTATTCGATGTCAAATCGGTCAAATCTTGACCCTCAATCCCTCGAAAGTAAACGGAGATTTTTCGCAGGGTTGAGGGCTTCAAGGTATTTATGGCGGGGTGGGCATGTAGGGGGTGAGACGGAGGGGAATCTATTGTTCTCACAGAAAATCAATCGCTGAATAAAAAAAAACGATATTTTAACTAAAAATTTTCAATCTATTTCGACCATTTTTGTGCTCGAAATATTTTTTTAATAACTTTTCTATTTTTTCTCACTTATTTCACGCCTTCTTTTATTTTTCTAGCTTGTCTCCTGGATAATTGGAAAATAATTAATATGGATAGAAAAAGTGACGTCGTGCCATTCGAGGTACAAGTTGGCAGCGCTGATTCACTCAGCTGTTATGTTCCTGCCCATAGCGAAATGTATCATCACAACTCCATTCGTATTTGTCGCGCTTACCCCTCCACGATTTCTAACCTCGACGTTGTCGCTATTCCAAATTGCGCACGCAGAATTCCTATTTTTCATGAGTTTTTTAATTATCCTTTCTAAACAGTTCTCCTAGGCCACCTGGATTATTTTTTCCATATTCCCCCATGAAAGCTCCACCCAGGTGCCAAAGTTCAGGAAAATGGCGATTTTTTTCTATTTTTAATACTTTTTTTCCGAATTCCCATAAGAGCTCGGGCAGGATGATAGAAAAACTTTTTTTTTCAGATCATTCTGCATTAGATGTCGAATCAATTGCCACTATTTTCATTTCTCCAGCCGAAGTGAGAGAAGAGATATGAATTTTCGAAAAGAGGGCGATTTGTGGTGAATTTTCATTTTGTTGAGAAATAATTCCTTAATAAAGCGCAGGAGACGAAAATTTTATT